GCTTTACATTAGTAGAAAATCAGAGTCAGGCATCTTTCCAACGTCAACACCAAACAGCAAAAGCGCAACACATATCCTTGCAGGAAAAGTCACATTATTAAGCTGGCTAAACTGTTCCTTCCAGAGCTAAACAACTAATTACAGGGAGGAAGCTCTCCTGGTTGTCATGCCAGACTTTCTGGTTTCTAGAAATAATTTCTTTGAGTCAGGGCTTGCTTCATGATGTGTAGAGGGAAACACAGCCTGAGATGGAGAGTTGGCAGCAAAACTGGTAGGGAGACGAGGGAAAGGACCAATCCTGTTCCTTTTGCCACGGGATCCCCAGGCCTGCAAGGCGGATGCTACATGTATCCGCTGACAAAATGGAGGCATGAGAAACAACATTGCTAGAGGCTGTGATTTACATTTTTAGGTCACCTTGAAGGAGAAATGTGTTTCTGTTTTTAAAGCTGCTACCCTAGAGTGACCTTGGCCTTCCTCCCTTGGTTCTGGCTCAACCACACCGTTCACGTTTCTAAGGGCATTCATGATTCCAAATATTACTGCAGGAGTTCCAACTTGGATTCACACACATGACTCAACTAAACATTTCTAGAAGCTAAAAATCAGAAACCAGGTACACTATCCCAGTTCAAAAACATCTCCTCGTTACTTGCCAAGAGACAATCATGAAATAAAACTGTAAGTTAAGGACTGGGAATGACTTGAAGGAAGCGTTCATAACAAATGAAAGTTAAAATATTTAGTGGTTTGTCAACTAATAGTATAGACTTGTAATAAAAGCATAAGAAAAACTTAACTAAACATATTTCTTTTTTAAGGATTCTAAAGTGTACAGGTACTTGAAGTGCAATAAAAGTTTGCTTTCTTCATTATACTAAGTATTAAATTAATGTCATCATATTGTGAAAAGATTATTTCACCTGGAAGAGGCTTCCTTGCCTATTTGGGTGATTATGTAAAATGTTTAAGCCTCTAGCACATAGAATGTGTATACGTGTGGTCTTTCTTTTCCTCTCTTATTTATTTTTAATATATGTGCTTCACCAAAGCAAAGTGCCATGGTATTCAGGGCTATAGTACCTGTTAGTCCAGGTGATAATTCCACACTTAAAATAGCATTCACTTGTATTTGTATAGCAATTTCTGTCACCCACGCACCCTTGCAGATCTTGGCTCACAGGGCTGTCATAAAGCTGTGAGGAGGCAGGGTGCAGTCAGTATTCACTTCTTTATACCCATGGTTAAGGTAAAGGAACTCTCTCACTGGGTCATTTGTCCGAAGTCACCATTTGCATGTCAATTCTAAGTACAGTGTCCTTTGCCTATGCCATAGGCTGTGCTGTCTCTACCAATGATGCTCTTCAAGAATGGGTGTGTGTTTCCTTGAGCAATGGGAATGGTGGTTGTGAGGTTTCGCGGTTCTGCTTTGTCTGGATTGCACGTGGGACAGAGATTGAAGGGACCCTCATCCTTTGTAGTTATCTTCCTTTACTTTGTCTAATATTTCCTCAAACTAAGCAGGGACTACAGGGAAGCAATAAAAAAGGCAATTATTGCCCATTTGTCTTCTGTACTATATATGTTTAAAAGATATTATTGTAGACATTTCTAAAATAGCATAGTAAATATATATTTTTAATGAGGCAAGATAATTTTTAAAAACTAAATTTTATGGTTCTTGGTGTGTGATTTTATTTTGTTTGTGTTCATCATTACACCATTTTTTTCCTACTCTGGAAAACTGTTTTGCTACAAGTCCATTTCTTTTTAACTTTTATCCACAGGGAAGTCATAATCCCTTACTTAAAGAGAAGCTGGTTACCATGGAAATCGTTCTAATGCCACTGAATCAATATTTTGATTTTGCTGACATTTAATATAAAAAGAAAGACTAAGACTTATAAAAGTCAGTTTTCATTTTTGTTGTAATTTTGATAGGAAGAAAATTTGTGAAGAAAACATATGCTACATCATAAACTCCAGTTAACTGACAATTATAAAGAACTGAGAATTTGCAAAAGGAAGATCTACATATTTGTACAGGTTTGGCTTTGAGCGCACACACACGAATGCATTCACTGGGACCGGAGGTTTATGCCCGTCTCTGAACTGAGTCCTATTGTTACAGAAGTCGTAACGTGAAAGGAGAGATTTGAATGTATCCAGTTTTACAATTGCCTTTTCATTAAGTGTTTTGAGAAGGCAAAATTTGCATGGAGAATCACTCTTCTACAGAAGTTGACCATTTCTGCACCAGGTCCTAACAGTCCCTCTGGTCCACTGACCCTCCTCAAAGACACACGGCAGCTGAAAGCTCCTTAACGCACCTTCGGAGCTCCTCTTGGTGTCGAAGCTGGACCTAGTTTTAATAAACTTTGCTGCCCATCCATCGAGCAGTCTTCCAAGTCTAACTTAAGTCTTTGCTGCTGCTCTAATTGTATCCTTAGAAGAAATAAAGAAAATGGAACCTCTACTGTTTGATAACGAGCTACTGAGAACCCTAGATCTTTAGATGAGCAAGGGATCTGAAAGAATTAGGAGCGTTTCTATTTCAGGAATTAGCTACCTAAAGCATCTCAAATGAATGGCCATCAGTTCTGTTTTTAAAACCACTGAATTGCCACCCAAATGTTTCCTTCAGGGGAAAATCATGATGACTTTCAGCTGGTGTTCACTGGGAACACCCCAGGTCCCCATGCCCCATGGGGGGCTACTCTGAAGTGTGTATTTGACACTGCTTCCAGGACTGTTTCTAGAAGCATTATAGTGCTTGATAAGCCCCTCCTTACTGACTGCTTTCCTTGTCTCTTCCATCTCTCCCCTCCTCCTTGGCTGGTTCTTTATTCCCTTCTATTCTCGGATCCCTCTAAACTAGTTCAGGCCCTCTTCCTTCAGACACCACTCTTCTAAATGAGTCAAGTTCTTCTGCTAACAATCTGATGTAATTGATCACATAGTTTCCTGGTACAGAAGCAGGAGAGAGGTAACCTCTGGAAACAAGATCACAGAAAACAAAAAGGAATGAAAGGCACCATGTGTCAGTATCAGAGGAAATCTGAGAACAATATTGAAAATGTTCAAAAGGCAGATCTCTCGGGCCCCTTAGTGTATTAACAAGTAAACCAAACACCTGAATTGTTTCTAAAAGCATATATGTGTTACAGGTTGAAGGACATACTGATGACCTTGAATCATGAGAAAAAAAAGAGAGTCAAATATGCTAAGGCAGCAGAAAAAAATAGTTACATGAATAGACACAGATATACACACACCACCTCTGTTGTGCTGTTCATCACAGCAAACCAGACTGGGACCAATGCAAGTATCCATCAAGGAGGTAACGATTAAAGTACTGTGATAGACACTTCTCTCCTTAAAAATGGTGTTTTTTTTAACAAATTGAATGCCATAGGGAATAGTCATAAGAAATTAAATGATAATACATAGCACACAACTCTATGCACAATGATTTCAACTTTGTAAATTTGTGTACACATACATGTCATTTACATTTGTATTCTCTCACACACACACACACATATATATACACACTCATGTTCCATTTTTGCATAAATGGGTAATAGGAAAAACTGAACCTAAGTGGATACTTTTCTATATAGCATGTCTGGATTAGCTTCATCTCCAAGCATTTATTTATATTTTTCAGTATGCACTGAAGGTCCTATTCTTTGGCTAAATAGGCACTTGGGCACTAATGTGGGAAAAAATGAGAGATGAGGGTAATGGGAAATACGGGACATGCCTCATGGCCAGCCCCCCTTACAGACTGGGTTTCAGCCTCTGTGGAAAGATCAGACCAGGAAAAGACGCAGATTCCATGGGGTCTGGGGAGCCCAGGTGACAAAGAAACCTGCCCAGCTGAGGAAAGGACCACCTACCTGGCTTCCACTCAAATGCAAAACACTGTGATGCCCTCTGTGCTGGGTGCTGCGGTGGAGAATGTCAGGGGCAAACAGGGTGGGAGAAAGGCCAGGGGACCTGGTACAGCCATGCTCTCACACTGGCCACCAGCAGCACTGGGAACCATAACGTGTTTTCCACAGCTCACACACAAAAATATTTTTTTAAGATTTCATTTATTTATTTTTAGAGAGGGAAGGGAGGGAGAAAGAGAGAGAGAGAGAGAGAGAGAGAAACATCAGTGTGCGGTTGCTGGGGGCCGTGGCCTGCAACCCAGGCATGTGCCCTGACTGGGAATCGAACCTGCGATGCTTTGGTTCGCAGCCCGAGCTCAATCCACTGAGCTATGCCAGCCAGGGCTCACAGAAATCTTAATGGGCTTCTAATCAAACCAGGTTCGAGACTACTCTCCTGCCACAGGAGTCTCAGGAAAAACTCCGGAAAGCTGAGACTTACTGATCTAAGTAAGGACCAAAGAGCTGATGAGATCCGGGATTAGCCTGACCTAATTTATAGTCATAGACACCAGCCAGGAAGCTGAGATATATTTGATATATATATATATTTCACAGCTGAGGGAAAATAGACACTGAAATATATATATATGTACTTCCTTCATACACACACACACACACACATTCACACACACACGAAGGAAGTATACCAAAATGTAAAACTGATTATTTTAAGGAATGAATACATTTTTTCTTCTTTATATTTCCCTGCATTATGTTTCCCCAAATGATCACGTACTCCTTCTTTGGTTATATAAACAATACCTATAAAAAGCAAGATAACATACATTTCTAGGCAAAATAATTTCCTAATAATTTGAAGCTTTCAGGAGGTGAGAAACCCATATTGCCTTCCTGTTCAGATAAATCCAATACATTTTTCTCTGTGTCTTTTGACAGCACTCAAACGTTAGCTTCCCTGCGCCTTAAATCCTGCATTTGTGGGACCTCAGAAAGATGGAGGACTCTGGGACCCGGGGAGGAGGACAGCAGAGGCTCCTTAGTAATGTAACCCTCGGCCTGAAACCCTCTTCTAGGGGAAGGGGGCCTGGGGCGGTTTACCTTCCGTGCGCTCAGGGGCTTTGCCACCCTTGCTGGCAGCTGTGCTGTTGACCGTCTCCGACGACGTGCTCAGCTTGGTACTGGGGTCCCGCTTGGGCTTGGGGGGTGGTTGTTTCCGGATGCCACAGCTGCGGTCATCATCTGTGCCCCCAACCGAGTGCAGGGACTGTGACCTCACGGAAAAGCCACTGGAGCAAGGATGGGGAAGTCGGTCCTGAGGTGCAGGCATCGTCATGAATCCCATGCGGAAATGTTTGCCCACGTAACTTGCTTCGTGGCCTCGCCCTCCTTCTCCATCTATGCTGTAAGAGAAAGCAGAGCGCAATCCATGGAGAGAAACCGAGCCGGGGCATGCAAGGTCAGGGGTGCAGCCACTTTTATCAGAGGTGCTAGTTCAAATTTTAGCTCCATACCGATGCCCAGACATGCCCATTAGCAACAAAACAGGCCACACTTTGCACTAAACATGACAGCACAACAAACGTAACTTTACTGCGATCAGAAATCCTAACACACTTCCTGGTACCCTGGTATCCAGATACTCTCGAAATTGTACTCCAAAGAAAAAAGCGCAAAGCACATTTCATCCTGGATTGTTTTTCTTCCCTTTGAGGTAAATTGTGCCGGTGGCTTAATAAGTAAATAAGAATTCATGACAAGGAGTTGTAGACTGTCTTTTGGCACATGATTGAGGTCAAGTGGACAGCCCTTGAGACTCTTCATTTCATCAGAGTCACCCCGACTTTTACCTAGTTAATACAGTGGGAAAGATGAAACAAACGACAAAGCTGGGGGTTTCTGTTACCAGGCACAAGGAGGAGAGAGAAAGGAGAAAGAGGAAGGGAGAGAGGAAGGAAGAACGGCAGGAAGGAAGAGTAGGGAAGGGAAAGGAAGGAAGGAAGGAAGGAAGGAAAGGTGGGAGGAAGGGAAGGAGGGAGGAAAAATACTTGTTCACATCACTGATGGACTTGTCAACCTCCTCTAGTTCTCCAGGAACCTCACTTACACTGCAACCTTAGTTCTACTATAAGCTAGCATCACAGGATAAAAATAACATCATCTCCTGGCTGGCGTAGCTCAGTGGATTGAGCACAGGCTGCGAACGAAAGTGTCGCAGGTTCGATTCCCAGTCAGGGTACATGCCTGGGTTGCAGGCCACAGCCCCCAGCAACCACACATTGATGTTCCTCTCTCTCTCTCTCTCCCTCCCTTCCCTCTCTAAAAATAAATAAATAAATAAATAAAATCTTTCAAAAAAATAACATCGTCTAATAAAGAGGCATATTTAAAATAGCATCTGATCCTAGGGTAGTTCTGTACACCTAATAAATAATCAGAATATACAAAGTTTCCAAATGTAAGTTTCTTAAGTTTTATATAGAAAAGTTTGAACAAAAATGTAAAAACAAAAAACTCTAAGGTTGAATCATATGGGAAATGACTCTTGGGCCCTTCTCTATGACAATAAGTAATGGTGACTCTTTTATAAAGAAAAAGGATATGAATATTAATATGAACTTTTAAGAGATTTTTCTAGCATTTTCCTCACATTTTCATTTGTCATTAGAGGAAACAAAAATAACCATTAGAAACATTTGACTGATTTCTTAGACATGTATATGAATGCTAAAAAGTATCTTTGAGTGTATGAATTTTGGAATCCTGTTGAGTCTACCTTTCTAGAAGTTTATTTTAGTTTTTTTTTAAACCTTAATTGTAGTTGACTCTGTCTTTAAAACTTTAAGAAATGCCAAGTAAGGCCTTGCATTTCTCTTTATCCGTCTTTCACATCACTGCTGCACTTGTCATAAAAATATCATTCTGGTAAAAACAGCGTGAGGTTTTCCCCTCCTCACCTGAGGACTTCTGGCAGTGAGATGAACATGATGGGCTCAGCCAGCAAGGGTTCAACGAGCACATGAGACTCTGTTTTGGGCATGTAATTCTGATGACAACTTGCCACTCAGCCAAAAATAGTTTTTATTTTTATTTCTTTTTTTTTTTCAGAATGTCTTGAGTTGATATTCGGATTCTAGGCACTCCGTCTTTGTAAAACAGAGTGGACGTGGCTGGGAGCTCCATGCACTCATTAGTGCGGCGGCTGTCCCGAAGCGTGAACGCAACCAAGGAGCGCGCAGTGGAGGTTGTCACTCCGCGGTGGTACGCATCCTACGTCGGCGCGGTGTTTTCATGCCTGCTACTTTCTGTGCTTTCAAGAACATCTATCAGAAAGTAACTAGAAGCTTGCTCAAATGCAATGGTTTGCCAAAACTCGTTGAGAATCTCAGACAGAAGAGAGGTGGTGAGGCTGGGGGTGGGCATGGGGCAATGGGAAGGTCTGCCTTTGCTTTGTGATGATTGTGGCCTTGATCTTTCTCACAGAGGGTGAGATACTTGACTTCCTATAACTTTGACTTCCATCGTTTCCCTTCCTCATGCCCTTTCCTTATTTTCCTTGCCATTATCACTGAGCAAAAGGTGCTAGGTACTTGAGGGATTTATTGAGACGCTTATCTTAGTCTCTGTAAGACAGACACATGTGGGCATTAATGCACGTTACTGATGCACATAGGCGTTTGGGAGACAGTTACGAGGAATAATTGCATCAGCAATTTCTCTGTTACTTCTGACCTAAATAGGGCCTGTACCTTACCCCAAATAGATAATTCAATTTCAAAAATACCTTTTTTTTCCAGCATAAAACACTTTCATTGACTCTCTGTGTTTTATTTCATACACATACATGTACACACACAGACAGAGACACTAACACTTCTTGCAAAGGGTAATTCAGTGTATGCATCAAATAATAGCCACTCTCATGTGCAGGTTTAATTGGACTGGGCTGGGAATGCAGGATGAAGAAAGGTGGGTAAGATAAGTTGGATACAAAGGCCATTGTCCACGTCACAGATAAGGGTGCAAGCAATAAAGGTTATGACACATTAGGTTCAAGAGGCCAGTAAAGCCAATTAGTTGAAAGCAAATTGAAGATTGTGGAACATACCATACAATTAATTCCTGAATTCCCTATAGAAACACGTAGAGGTTCTAAAATAATATGCAGATTCCTGGGCCTACACTAAGGACAACTTAGTTGAATCCTATCAGTTGAATCAGAATCTGTATAGGTGTAGTGGGTTTGTATTTTTAGAAACTATATCCAGATGTTACTTTTGTAGCTAATCCAGATACCCCCCAGCAACATTAAGAACAAGAGTAAGATCTGCTGAGGAGCGGACATGTGTTAGGTGTAAGTTAGAAACAGCCAGGAGACACAATTACCCAGAAGTGGGACACAGGAGACTTGTCAGAGACCTGGTGACATATCATAGGTAAGAAGAAAAACAAACATAAATAAATGAAAGGTAGAGTGTATTAAACTTTGTTAGGTTGCACTACAGTAACAAACAATTGCCAATTCTTACTGATTCACAACAGCAACGGTTTATTGCTTGTTTGTAACAGTTGAGTTGCCGTGTATCAGCTGGAACTACACTCCCGATGTCTTTACTCTAGGATCTAGCTCCCATGGGATATGTCCCCGGGTGGACAGAGGGAGAAAGCTTCTGCTCAGATGAGGCATCTAATTTTTCACTCATATTTCATTGGCTAACACCAGTCTCATGTCCAATCTGGATGTGAATGGGGTGGGGAAGGGTCCTCCTCCCACAGCAAAGCACTGCAGGTTACACGGGAATATGCGGGGATCAGAATCTTCTTACAGGGAGGGGACCCAGTACCGGTACAGCAGCTGTGGTGCATGCTGCAGAGATGTCCCTTCAAGAGAGAACTTGCCATGAGGAGTGAAGTTAGCTGACAACCAATGAGGCACTGGGGGGATTTTGTACTTCTTGCCACCATCGTTCTGAGCTTTACAGGGTCAGAGGTCCTTGTCTGCACATGGAGCACACTTTTTCTAGGAGACACATCAAGGGTCCCATGGAACAACAAGCTCTAGCTGCCTCCTGAGCGATTTGAACTTCCTCCACAGAGCGGTCAGCGGGCGACAGAATCAGTCTCCACTGCGGAAGAGATCATGGGCCCCCATCAGCAGGGGGAGGCAGGGCTGCTGTCACATGATGGGAGAGAGAGAAACATGTGGGGGGCCCCTCTTGATACTCTCTTGCCCAACTGTGTTTTTGAAACATCACATGCAGTAACTCTGGCCTGGGAAAGTTTCGGTGGCTAGGGGTTCCAGCCTCTCATGCAAGAGGGATTCGTCTCACCACGCAATAAGCTACTGAAACCAGGAGAGCTGTTAGCTGAGGGTGAGAGTATCAGCCACAGCTCCCATATGAATTGCAATGATGAGAGCTGAAGGTCATCGCACTAACCATCCTTTTATAAAGTTCCCCTCAGGAAGAGTCTCTTATAAACTATATATAAAAAATAATGTCCCCAGACCTACAAGAGAGAAGCATCTGCTGAACTTGAGACAAATTGTGGTGGCCCATCAGGTACTGGTAGGTGGCTCAGATCTCTGTCAAGAGAGAAACTTCTCTAAGAACAGAAGTTCTCTGGCAGCCGCCACCAGCTACAGTCCTCAAATCTGGGGCAACACCTTAGTCAAGGCGCTCTGTTCCTGGAAAGCTTCTAGCCAATAGCTGAGTGTGTTGTGGTATGGGACCTGGCGGCTTCTGGCCAGCGTGGGAGTCCTCTATGGGGCAATCTCTGTATCTGAGTTCCACTGCCGGGCTGGCTGCGACGTGCCCATCACTACGCTGAGGTCTGGTGGAAGGCTCTTCCTATCCAATCATTTTCCCATCTCCTTCTCCTTTCCCAGCTGTCGAGCCTGCATCTTGGCCTGAGGCTTGTCCTGCCCGTTCCTGCTGCCTCCCTCTCCCAGACATCCTCCTCCATCAATCCCTCACCATTTTAACCCCATCCGGCTTGGAGTCTGCTTTCTAGAGGGCGTGACCTGACACACTTGGGAACAACCATACGGCTTACGACATTCAGAAACCAAAGAAGAAGAGGGAAGTGAAAGCTTAAAAGCCAACCTAAGACCGCAGAAATAAGAAATGCCTGTGAAAATAGGACCTTCTCTGGCTTCAGACTGGGCATTGAAAGGGTGGCTGGTGAGGGAGGAACCAGCTCCCCTGGAGGGATGCTTGGCTGGAAACGCAGTTGTATGGGGGCTGCGGAAAGCAGTCTTTTTGCAAGAAGGCTCTCACACTCAAGATAGATTAAGCCTGACACATCTCATGTTATAAAAATAAAAATAAGTTTCATAATCCTGAATTTAAACAAGTATACTTTTTTCCTCACATTGTGTAGGCAATGTTGCAAGATCTCATTG